CCTGCTGTGACTCCTTAAATATCTATTCAGCCTTCTCTCTCCCTTAATTTTTATAGGATGCAGCCTAGGCAATCTCTATGACTAATAAAAAAAATAGATTTTATTAAAGAAATGAATGCACAATTCTCCCCTTCATTCCTCTTCTATCTGCACAAAACCTAAATATCAAAGTGGTTTCAAGGGAAAAGCAATTGTTTACTTGTAGGGGAGAGGGAAGAAGAAAAAGCAGCTCTAGTACTGAATCTGTTGTATCCCATCAGAAATTTAATCAGTCCCACTACCAATGTATTTTTCAGCAATGTGCATGCCTGGGTGAGAAAAACAAGGTAAAGAAAGCAAATCCTGAAAGCTAATCTGCAGGTGGTTTCAAAGAAAGCAGGGTCAAATACTCCCAGGTTTAAGACAGCAACACTCATGTTCTATCATTCTTAATTTTTGACACTTGAGTTTGTTGTCCCGTCTACCAGGAGGGCACCTTTGAAAAAAAAAGGTGACTTTCCCTTGATAACTACTTGTCAGCTAATTATATGTGTGCTTCCAATTACCTTTCTAAATTTGCTTATCCTCCAGTTTCCAAGTAAGGCAGTACTGAAATTCCTTAGAAACAGAATGTGACATCATAAGAAGGTTTTGCAGAAGCTCTCTCTGTATGTCCATTTATATTAGTCTTATCATCCATAACAAGTGTTTAAAAAGCAGAAAAACAACCATGATGCATAATGCATTGTGTCATGATGCATAATAATTAAAACCCCTCCCCCAGCTCCTGAGGTTTAAAATCTTTCCAAGTAAGCATTTCAGCGTAAAGGCTTTGACAAAAACTGCCATTTAGGGACTTTCAAATTTACAGCTATGCAATTTGTCATCATTTATATCAGCAAGAAGGTTTAAAATAAAAACAACAACAAAAGGAAGATAATACCATGCAATTCTGCACTTGATGAATCTCCTGTTGACTAAAAACCCCCATGCCTGGCAGTCAAAAAAGTTATTAACCTGCCAAATTACAGATGGAATTAGTTTGTTTTTCCCCCAGAATTCTTTAAGCAGAAGAATATAGAGTATCCCATGTTCAAGTATTAGCAAAGGTTACTTGCCTTTAGAATATTGATTAGCACAACCCTTGTGGGAATTATTTCACTTTTCCAAAGCAAATTAAAGATCTGAAAAGCAATTCTCAACTTAACTTCAAATGCAGTTATTTAAAAATGGATGATTAACGCAATTACTGCCTGGCGCAGAGAGCATGGCTTTCCAGAGGCAGCCAGCAGAATTCACAGTTAACACTGAAATCAGATTACCTTGAAAGAGCTCCCTTGATCCAGGGAAGAAAAAATAAAACTGATACCTGGGAGATTATTTCTCACCTGAATAACACGTATTTCCTTCTAAGCCACAAACTATATGGCAGTTAGATGTGCGCACACTCCAGCTCAGGTTTTCTGGGTTTTTCAGAGTAAAGTACACAGGAGCAATGTATTTACTTGCACCCCTATGACTTGTTCTTCAGTCACCTCTAAGGTTTCTGAAGCGCCTGCTGAAAACTGCTAATACTGCTTAAAATAAGCATTTCTGCAGGCTATTTTCTTTAGTAACAATTCACTCAACAGTAAATTAAGGGTTTTTTTCTTTTGGACTTCCATATAGCAACCACCAGCATGGAGGATACATGTCACATTCCTGAGCACAATTATACTAACATCTTTTAAGGAAGTCTTTATTAACTGGTGAGAAACCATCACCCATAAAAGCCAAGCAAATTTCCCTGATATCACATCTGGAAACAGCAAAGCCGGAATTTGAGCTTAGGTCTTCTAAATTCTAATGCCTAGCCAAGTAATACTGTTCTTCTGCTGAGTTACGAAGCCATTAAGATCAAATGCAGTTTCAAAATCAATGCAGAAATATTTTCACTGAAACTTTATGTAAACTGCTACTCAGTTTTAAAACACCAATACATACTTCCGCTAAAATAAGGATTTGGTAACGCTAGTAATACACATTTCAGAAGTAATTATTTTAGTCACATTTTTTCCTATTTCAGGTTCTAAAAATGTACCAGTTTTAAATCTTTACCAGATAGCGTAAGTGATAACAAGCTGTAAATCCACAGAACTAAAATGTTGCTGGGAGCACTACTTATGACTTGTCAATCAGTATGTCTAAAAGTATATCAGTAGTCTATAAAGTGGTGGGCTTTTTCTTCAGTCACATAAATCGGACCACAGACTATGAACACAAAATTGCAAGAGCCTATATATGCCTTCTTTTCCAATAGTTCTGTGAACTGGTCATATAGTAACTATTGAACAGATGTGATGACTCAGTGATCACTTTTTGCTTTCACTGAAGAGAAGGGAAGACTAGCAAATGTGAGCTGTTATTTAATACTATATAATGTGGTGTTTCTTATTCCAGTCAATTTCTTAATGAACTGGGCAAGTGTGGAATGGCAAATGCAGTTGTTAGCCAGACCTTAAAGCAGTCAGCTGCAGTCAAAACCAAGGAATTCTTTGTTACATGTACTAGAATATTTAGGACTTTTCTGTAAGAGGACAGTGCACAAAATCAAGCACTTGTATTAATACATTTATTACTTAGGAAGATCTCAAGAAGTTAGTATGCCTAAAACTGATTATTTCCTGGATTCTGGAGTACCACAGCTTTCTATGACATGGAACAAACTCTGTATTGCCCATTCCAGGCAGAAGGAATTTCGGCTTATGACAGGGAAGCAGTGAAAATTTGCATACAAACGGAGCTGGAAAAGCATTTCCAGCTGCACTTATTGTTTAGGGGGAGGAAAAAAAAACGCAAAGTACATATAAAGAGGCCTCTTTCCAGAGGCATGAATGCACATTCTTCAGCTGTTAATATTTGCCATAGTATCATCCAGAAAGGAGTCTTGATTTTGCCATGGTACTTAGAGTTCATTGATTGTGGTTATAACATTCTTATCCTAGAATAAATCCCAAAAGATCCCTTACATACATAAAAAAGTGTACACTCAATCACCACCAACTGCTCATACCCAACACATGCAAGCCAAATGTATAATGCCTGAACGGCTCCGACAGAGGAGAACAGGCCTAACAGATCCTTTTAGGAGCCTATTCCTTATGTGGTTTAGGTCAAATTATGCAGTTAGAGGGCTAATGCAGCCACTTTTAATCAGATAGAATAAACTGGCTAGGGTCTTATAAGTGAGAGGATTAAAATTGTTTGGACATACTGACTAGTAAAAATAATTTAAGTATGACATTTTCACTATTTTGCTGATGTGTCGCTGTTGACATGACTTGTCCCTTAAGAACTTCAGTTGGGAAAGGACATGTTTTCTCAAACATTTGAACCTTATGATCATGCACAACTAATTAAACACCACTTTGCTAGGACCTTCACATTTGTTATAGCCTGTCATGATCAAAAGTCATTCATGTCTTATCAAAGGTACATGTGTTCATTTTGGAATTGCATGACAGACTTTGGTTTTGAGGCTTTATAACATAATTTTTCTATATTTTCTCAAGGAGTTTTATTTGCTAGAGTTGCCAGTAAAACACAACTGGTCCCAGATGTAAGATATCTGGTTGATAAAATTAAATCTCTTCAATTCTCTTTTCTGTGGAAATTTCATTGATCTGATCTGTGATCTCTTCTTTGCCAGAAAGCATTTTTCTGAATATTCTTTCTAACCATTCCTCCACATACACACCTCAAGCTGATGAAAGCACAGGCAGAACTTGAAAGAAATATTGACTTTGTAGATGCACATTTATTTTCATTAAGTCAGTTTTTCCAAGAGGGAATAAAAGTAAGTCACTCCAGGTGTTTGAATCCAAGCTTCTTTCTGGCAGAGCTAAAGTAAAATTTCTTATTCAATTTTAGTCATCTCTGAGGATGGATCATCGCTGAGTATTTACATTTCTGGTATGACTGGGAAAGGACAGAAAGGAGAATGTTAGGAGAAAAAATAAGTTAAAATACAGATAAATTTCTGTCCTAACTTTCCAAGCAATTTATTGGGACTGACAAGTGCTATGAGATGACACTAGACACAGCCGTAGGAAGAGAGGAGGGGACAGTAGGAAGAAGTAGACTTTCCTCCTAAGGTGAGAGCTAGTACTGCACTAGCCATTGTTAATGCAAGAGGAAAAGGCAAAAGACAGGAAAATTTAAATTTCTGTGCCCTCTAGCCAAGAAAATCTTCCACACATGGGTGGTCCAGTGTTTAAGTGCATACAGTAGCTAAATAGTTTTGATTCACTAATTCAGCTTTGAAAGTATAGCATATGGGTTATCCAGTGTTATTTGCTGGTTTTTTCCTCTCTCCCCAGACAATCTTATTTCTGCTCTGTTTAGTTGTTGTTTCTAGGCATTAGTAATTGTCATTCATGACAAACGCAGTCAGCTGCTCATGGACCCAAATTCAAGAGTTAGCTGCAGGCTTTTTTTTTTTTTTTGGGGGGGGAAAATATCCAGGTTTGTGCCAGAGGACCATTTTCTCATGCTAATACTGTCCTGTCCCTCCTTCTTTCTTGAGATATACAGAGAATATTATTGCAAACAGCAGAGAACTGAGATACCTGCAAGCTATGGGAGGTTTTCAGAGAGTAAGACTGGACAGAACTCTAACTGCCTGTACTTTTTCCAGACTATGCATTCACAGGAGTTGGAGGCAGCCTGAAGCTGCACCTAATACAAGCCATACTTGCAAGCAAAAACAAGACAAGGAGGGGCTTGATAGTATTTTCCTAAGTATGCCACGTGTCTCACTGTCCAACACACAAGCAGCAATTTCTGGGAGAATAAAACAATAAAGTTTTTAGCAGTCAGTGATGCAAAGTAGATACACAGGTAGGCTGGCGAGGTGGGTAAGGGTACCATGAAGAAACTTTGGTATGATGGTCTCACCAGTGTTGCCACAGGCTTCAAGTCTCATGAGAGGGAAGGGACTGCCCCAGCTTGCAGACCTGTTCTTTCTCTTCTCTCCCCATCAGGTGAAACTGTGTGCAGCCTTGACCACTTGACCATGCTACTACAATTCCAGCAACTATGAAGAACAGCCTGATCTGAAGCAACCCAGCTGATACTAGCTATGAATCAGCACACTCGACTGTAATCAAACAAACCAGTCGACCCCAAATACATTGTGAAAGTGCAAAGGTCAGGGAGAAAAAAGAAAAAAGTGTGAAAGGTTTACATCCATTAAAACCAGTCAAGGAAGCGTGACTGTTTCCCAAAAATAACTCTAAGTGTGCCAGGCAGAACACCAGTGGTCTGACAAATTTGCTAGAACTAAGAGTTGTTTCAGCATACGCCTGCAACAATGAATATGGAAATCTTTAAGGCCAAGTTTAAAAAGGAAGAGAAAGTTCATCAAGTTTCTGTGAAAGTCTTAGGAGACTTTAACTGAAGTCAGAACTACATGTTATCCTGTGTCTGTCCCACCCACCCCCGAAGACAGACCCTCCTCAGAATCCCTCTTTATATGTCTGTACCTACATGAAGCTGTGAAGTCAGACTAACTACAGTCCAGATACATTTGAAGCAAAGCTCAGGATATTTAGGAAGAGGATATAATGCTTAAAACAGCAACAGCTCGTCTTGTGGCCCTGCAAGGTGTCAACCTATCCACTGTTACTGGTCTTTCTATGAAGACATCACAGGAAAACATTACTTAAGCAGTGATGCCATAGCAAAGAAAGGTGTTGTATTGTTGTCTACAGTAGGTTTGGAGAGGTTTCCCCTTCCTTCGTAGTTTAGGTTTGCTTTTCCAATGCAAATCAGTACTGACCTCTGCTGCTAGATTATCAGCATGTGTACTTACTAGGGAAAGAGCAAGGATTATGCAATAACACAGAGATGGCATTTCCAAAAGGGTATTCATGCTGCAGAATAGGAATTCCTCTACATCCAGAAGCTCTAAGGATGTTTATATTCACCCAAGAGCATGCTTGCCAGGTGGGCATAGAAAGTATCCCCATTACACAAACAGGGAAGTGAGTAAAAGACTTGAAAGGGGATAGTTTGGAGTACCTCATCCTGCATAGCCATTTCACTAGTTTCCTACCTGGATATCCTTCCCCTACTCCAAGATCACCTTTACAAAGCTGACCTCTGTCTGCCATGGAAGATCATACAGAGGACGTTTGCCATAAAGAAAAAGAGCAGGCATACAATTAGTTCACGTGGAATACCTAATGCACTTCCCACACACATTTTAGCTTATTTTGCATTAATGTCCTCAGGTCACAAGCTTAAGTAGCTTACCCGAGGCTAGGCAGAGTCCAAGGACCTGTCCACATGGGGATACTCAGGAAATGAATCTGAAATTAAACTTTAAAAAAGAATGAGCTAAGCAGCATCCTAAGCTAGCACTTTCATTTAGAATTAGAGCCTTAATTCAGCTTAGCCTAATTCTTTCAGTTCTAAAATGGGGATATTGATACAAGCCTGCTTCCATATCTGTTTATCTGAATCGGTTGAAGGCATTACTGCTTCCAGCTAGTCATCGCTGCTTTCCAGATGGAGGTTTCTACCCCACAAAACCATGACAGCAGAGTGATTCATGTGAGGTGTCCTGCTTGCAGACAACTTTGTCAGCTGCGGTTTTAAAAAAGGAGGTTTGCATTCATCTGGCCTCTTACTGAAAGGGATCAGGGACACACACAAACCACTACTCTTGGGATAACCTGCTATGCTGGCTTTGGCTGGGATAAAATTAATTTTCTTCATAGTAGCTAGTATGGGCTGTGTTTTGGATTTGTGCTGGAAACAGTGTTGAAAATTCAGGGATATTTTGGTTATTGCTGACCAGTGTTTACACAGTATCAAGGCTTTTTCTTCTTCTTGCACCACCCCACCAGAGAGCAGGCTGAGGGTGCATGAGAAGTTGGGAGGGGACACAGCTGGAACAGCCATCTCCAACTAACAAAAGGGATATTCCATACCATGTGATGTCATGCTCAGCATATAAAGCTGGGGAAGAAGAAGGAAAGGGGGGACATTCAGAGTGATGGCATTTGTCTTCCCAAGTCACCACTACATGTGATGGTGCCCTGCTTCCCCAGAGATAGCCAAACACCTGCCTGCCTGTGGGCAGTGGTGAATGAATTCTGTGTTTTGCTTTGCTTGTCCATGCAGCTTTTGCTTTACTTATTAAACTGTATTTATCTCAACCCATAAGTTTTCTCATTTTTACTGCTCCATTTCTTTCACCCATCCCACTGAGGTGGGAGGTAGTGAGCAAGCAGCAGGGTGGTGCTTAGTTGCCAGCTGGGGTTAAACCACACCACTTCTAAGTGCAGTAACCCTGTAGAAGTACACAGCCATAGGTTGTAACTTCTTAAATCTGTGCAGATGTTTACAGAACAAACATCTGCCCACAATCTGATTGGAGGAAGTAGGCAAGTGGGACAATTGCCTGGGATACTCACTCGTCTAACCAAGGCAAAAGTATAAATCAGTGAGCCAAGGGTGAAAGCGAGACTTACAGGATATGGTTCCTAGCAAAGGATGAGGCTGAATGCATTGACAAGGCATAGATTTGCTTAAACTATAGGCTATTATTGGGGTCTCAGTATTCAATCACTGCTACACAACTGCACTTTAAAGACCTACAGTATGAAGGTGCTTTTGGCCTCTATGACCTTAATTATGGAGACTCATTTACCCCATGTTGTTTTAGCTGGTAATAGATTGCAACATGCCAGTCACGTCACAGGTAAAATTGTTTCCTAGACAATCTGAAAGGAGTGAAATAAGATGTTATAGGAGCTCTATGAATCTCTGACAAGAGACAAGAGTAAACAAAGAGAGAGAGAGAGAAGAGAAAACATCCTTTACATCCCTATTCCCTTGATCTACCTTCCCACACCTGGGGTACAGCAAAGCAATATCCCCCTAGACAGGTCTTGGCAACCTTGTGTTCAATCTGTCTCACACTTCCCCAGAGATAAAATCAGGAGAAGGAGACAGGGGGAAAGGGAGGGAGGTTGCTCCATGATGGGGCTTTTTGCACTGCAGAATGGAAAAAAACAAAAGGATTTAAATTTAGCATCATCTCTCTGAACTCAGGCCACTCATTACCATCAAATAGTGTCTGTCAGAGGAAGCCACTGGTGTTCTGAGATAGCATCCTACTTCCACAGAAATGGAGAAGTCATTTAACACTTCTAGCTGTGGAACACCTATTTATATTTAATATTCAAAGCCAAAGTACCAAAGAGGTTTTGCTGGTGGTGTTTTTTCTCCAACACGTAGAACCTTGTCACATGAAATAAAATAACCTAAAAAAGCAGGACACCAAAGACAAAGAAAGCAATGCCGCAGCTAAGCATTAATCTCTTAGCAGCACCAAGGTTATAAATTCAGTGTGTTCTCCATGCTACACCCTTGCTGGAGATTATCTCCTACAGATAACATGCAAAATAAACCTGGATGAAAAGGGAAAGAAAAGCAGGTAGCAGGAGGAAAAACAACCTTCCCTCTCCACCCCACTTCACTCCCCCCCATCCCCCGAGAGAACAATTTTTTCTGCAAAGAGAGTTTTCTGGAACAAAATATATTTAAGATTTGAAAAGGGGAGGATTATTTGGGGAAAATACCACTCAGGATGGAAACAGGTAGAGAATTTAGCTGTACTGCAGTTTTTTGTCTTAGTAAGTTGTGAATGGGACATGAGGTATGTGTATATTTACAAAAAAAAAGCTTAGACTTTTTTTTGCTTCTCTTATAATCCTCAGGAACATTCAGATCATCTAGGGAAAACCTATATATTTCTGGTTCTGTTCAGTAGAGTAGGAAAACAAAAAGCTCTTTCCTCTGTTTCCCAATGTCAAAAGAAACTGTAGTGTTTTTAATATAGAAAATCCATTAAGTATGGGAAAAGGCAAGAGCCTCATATCAAGCTGCAGACAGCAACGCTCAAGCACAAGGCATTCAGGCGATGGAAATGCATTCAGAGCGTTTAGCACATAGGATTAATCGAATTATAATTTAATCATCTGATCAAACACTAATTAGCATAATCACTTGAGGGGAAAAGCTGCTAGTGGAACAGACGAAGAAACACCTTGGGCACCCGCACGTTTTAATGACGCAAGATCATGCACAGATTTTTTTTTTTTTCCTTAATAAAACACAACAGAGATTGAGGATCATAGTGCTGAAGAAGCAGTTTGAAAATTCCAGTCCTGCATCTCATATAATTTTCAAGCACAGAAGTTGTTGAAGCTGGGTCTGCAAACTATAGTTTATTCAGATTTAAGAAAGAGCTGTAAAACCACAGGAACACTACACTACCCTGGTTTGCTGTATGAAGACTTGAGCATGAGCACACATTTTTAGCCCACAGTGTTTCCATTATAATCATCCCTTACTGTTTCCCCCCGAGTCTCTCACATGAATGTTTAACTATAGATCGCTTAGATGACCTTCAGGGATACAGCAAAGTATTAGCGTCCTTTTACAAACTGCATTTGAAGTAATTAGTCTAAATCAGCTGGGTTTTTTGGCTTGGTGCGGGGGAGAATGGGAAAGCAAGAGATATTAAGGGAGCTTTTCTGTGTAACATTGTCTAGCTTTCCTGGTAAAATCATGCTACTTTTCAAAAGCAGAAATCTAGAGAGACTAGAAAATCACCCCTGATGTTTACAATATAATTACACTTGTGTCTGGAGAGTGGGCAGGAAGAGATGTATGGACAGAAGGAAGCCAGGAAGACTGTATGGGAAGGAGGAAGGGGAGAAGTAGGGCATTGCAGGGGAATGGATCTTAGGGGGTATCTTTTGTTTGACTTTTTACACAACATAATGTAATTTAATTCTTCTTAATAAGTGTTTAGATTTCCAAATAGATAACTCTTCTGAACACTAGAAACATTTAAATGTAATGAACTACAGCACCTATGGATCAGATTGGACTTAGAAGAAGTTTCCTACAATATTATGTAAGGAAGCAAAATGATGAGCTGCTTACCTACATTTTAAAGACACCAGATCATACAGGCTCAACTGTGAGCTAATTTAAATTGATTATATCCCTCTTACAGAGCTATTACTAATAATCCTTTCAGCTTCTCAGAATGATTGTACATTAATAAAATAGGGTAACCAGTTACAGCATGGGGCCAGTTTACTCCAGGATTTCTCCATACTGGGCACCCTGCTATGTGCAGTCAGTCTGGAAACTCTCACAAGCATAGCATGCAACTCTCCACTGCAGGTGACGATTCCAGAAAACATCCCAGCAACAAAGAGCTGTATATCACTTTAAAGCATTGTCATACTTTTCATAAGAAAAATGACTGATAAATGAACTAATAAAAGACAATAAATTAGTTTCTCTCTGGCATAAAGGTAGAACCACCATATGGCATGCATTTCTGGCTCTAAAACAGAAATCCAGCATATATGGAGTCCATTTAAATAAAAAGTAAAGGTAAATTCATCAAAAAGTTTTAAAGTTATGTTTTTCTAGCTTGTTTAAAATATCTAGCTTTAAATTCTTGCTTGTTCCGTTCAAGTAAATCTTCCTTTCAAGCAAAAACTTAAAGGCAAAACCAGGAGATTTTGCATCACCTCACAAAAACTGCGATATGTCAGAGAGGGGAGTGACATAGAGCTAGTAACACTATTTAAGGCTGCACCATAGTCAGAGATAGGCTGGAACACAAGACAACAACCACCGTCTCCCCAAACCCATCTCTAAATCTCTCTTCTCTTCCTGACCTCTTAGAGGGCAGCAATCCTGAGCCAAATGGCAGCATCCTGCTGGTATCAGAAGTGCAGCTACCCATACCTTCCACTTTCTGAATTTATAAGATTAGCAGCACTGTGCCATGTCATAATGCTTTAATTTTCCACTTGCTAACTATTTAATGTGTGCTACTTATTTCACATAAAATTATCTGAGCACAAGGCCCAATGCATGTGCCTTAGGAAATGCCAGAGCTATGGTGCTCAGCCAACCTTAATCCCCTACTCCAATTATTACAATGTGCATACACACCAGGGACTAAAAGTAGCAGAGACCATGTGAGGAAGAAGAGTAACTGCATTGCATAGTGGACAAACAAGGCTGTTATCTTTGAATGTGGCTTAGACAGAAACACAACATACTGAGCTAGAAAGTTCTCAAAACTTCTTGAAATTAAGTAGCAGTCAGACTACTATTATTTAGCTGTGGAAAATGTTTTTAAAAACCTCATTAGTTCCTTTTGTAATTACTAAAAATCAGCATTCTTCTATAGAAATGCATTTTGAGATGTGGTAAGAATACTGTAATTGCTTTTATTCACTAGGGACTAACTTCTGAACATAATAAATATGCACTGAACTGCTGCAGCTAGTGTCTTCAGACAGGCATTTCTTTTCCTCAGCACTCCCTTCATGTGTGCCACTGGTTAAGACATTCAAAAAGCCCTCTAGCTTTGTCACTAGTGAAACAAACACAGCTTGAGTGCATGTAGTACTTTAGCAGGACAGTCACATCACTGAAGTTGCACTGCTTCTTCTCAAGCATGCACACTCTAGCTAAAGACAAAAAAACAGTGAAGAAAGGAAGAGGCTTGTTCAGGATTTTTACTCTTGACCAGGATCGAAAAGCTAAAATTTAAACCTTCCTTTCTTCCACGGGGGGGGGGGGGGAAATCCATATTCCCTAATCCAGGCTGTGTTCTCACCATATATACACAGTTTTCCTCAGGACTTGCTAAGCTTTACAATTTGCTGTAGAGACAAAAAGCTGCTCTCCGGTAGGGCAGCAACGTGGTGCACTGGCAATGTCCTCCTCCACCCAGCAGTGCTCTCAGGAGACCGCATCCAGAAAGGGCTCCAGGAGCAAGGCAGGGTGTTCAGGCACATGCTCTGAGCAGACCCCGTTGCACCAAACCTGCCAGTTCCAGCTCCCAACAGCTGAACAGCAAATCACGACTGCTAGTGCTTCTCTGAAAGCCTGACAGCTCAGCCTCT